GTTCAGGGAACAAAGCCTGGCTTGGTAGGGAGCTTTTCGCTCGCTCGTGCGCTCCGTGCGGCTTTCCCGTCTTTCCTTTTCCCTTTTAGGACACTAGGTGGGTAGATCCCGGTGTGGGCTCTCGGTGTCACACTTTGGGTCTCCGGTCACCCCCACCCCCCACCCCTCCCTGAGCGTGCTCTTCAACCCTAGGGAAACCTGGGGGAGATAAAAACCGGGGGCTCTAAAGGGAACTGGGCGATGTGACCATTTGCCCGTGCTTGTTCTTGGAAAGGGGGGTGGAGGTGTCTCTTTGGATGGCATCTCATGGGCGCTGTCCCCGGAGACCGTCACTCTGGAAGGTGGACAGTGTCACGTGTAAACTTGCACTTGCTCTACAAATAATGTTTTTGTTATCTTGAGACAGGGGTGCCTGTAGCTCTGGCTGGCCTCGAACTCACAGTGCAGCCAAGGATGACCTTGAACTCCTTCTTCTGCCTCCGCCTCCCAAGTGCTAGAGTAAAGGCGTGCGCCACCACGCCCTGCACAAATATTTGTTGAATGCTGGCTTCGGCTGGCCGCCAGAGTAGATATTCCTGCCCTCCGGGAGCTTCCCTTTGAAGTCATTACTCTCAAGGTTCCTAGACACCTTTTGGGGTACGCCGAGGTACCACAGCTCCACCCCAGCCCCACCATCTGATTTCTCAAAGACCTAGCTCCACCTCCAGCCTCAAGGCGTGCCTCCAGATTTAACGCGAGTTGAGAGATCGCTACCTTGGGAGGCCCTTGCAGACAGAATCGTGCCTCACTTTCTGGGCATGCACACAAACACAATAGCTCTCACAACCTCACAACGAGGGATTCAAGTCCCCGAAATTGGGTCTGGCTGGGGTTTGGGGGAGGGCGACCCAAGACTCACCCCCCTCCCCAGACTGGTATAGGCCCAAAGACGAGATCTGATGCCCCCTTTTTTCTTTACAAGGGGGGACACGGCGCCCGCAGAGGACCAAAGGTCAAATACCCCCTCAGCGGGAGGTTGGGTGGCCGAGGGGAGACGGCAGCCCTGGGGGCTTCATCCACACTTCAAAGACCTCTGGGCCGGGAACGCTTCCTGGGGGGGAGGGGCAGAGGGCTCGCCGAGGAGAGGGCGGGCTGGGGGATTGAGGCTGGAGGGGGGCCGCTCCCCCTTCTGCGCACTGCCCCCCTGGCCGACTCTTCCGCCGGGTCCGCCTCCTTTTCACTAGCACCTGTTCAACCGGAACATCAAGGGGCCCGGGCCCGCAGCTCCCCCCTCCGCGTCTCTTTAGTACCTTTCATCCCGGAAGGGGGGGGTGTGAATCCCCGCCCAGGAGGGGGGGGAGCGGGGCGGGGGAGAACTTGTCCTTGACCTGGTCTGTGGCGTCAGGGATTTACTCCCTTAATCCTGGCGAGGCGGGAGTTGGGGGAGGTCTGAAAAGCTGAGCCCCCAACTCTGCGGCTCGCTCTTGGGCCCTGGGAATCCCGGAGGCTGCCAGGACGAAGAGACCGTCTAGAGAAGTGGACGTGAGGTAGTCTTTATCCTGTGGCTTCTGCATCAGGACACGTCGAGGGCCGAGATCTCGGCTAGAACTGCTTTTACTCAGATGGTGAACTTCGCTCATACGAAAAGTTAAGTAAGACTCAGGAGAAACCTTACTTGAAGTTTCTAGCGAACTGCTTCTACTGCTAAGAACAGAACTGCAGGAAAAACGCGAAAATGCCTGCCCTACCTTTCCAACAGTTTCCAAGTATCGGAGTATTTACCTCGGGAACCCCTACTGTCTAAAGTGCTCACGGTTCCGGGTTTCGCCGGACGAGGGTCACGTTACGACCCCTTGGTCCCTGTAACTAGGAATTGGTGACTTGGGGACAGGGAACGGAATACCTGTCTTAAGTCAAGCCAGGGTCCAACATGTCCCCAAAGCTTTTAGGATGGACGTTTGACGCATGTTTAGCGATTTAGGAACGTATTTTCCTTTAATTCTCTCCACGATCATTTAAGGTGGGTGGAAACGTCCTCCGTTTTATGGATGGAGTGACGGCGACACGGGTTAAATAACTTGCTCAGAGGCGCATAGCTAGAAAGCTAGAGCCAAGATTTGAACCCAGTCTTGTCTCCTGCTAAGACTAGGGCTCTGCTACCGTGTCTCCAGCCTGTGGGGGGCTGAGCTGCCCGCCTCTTCCCCTCTGGACTTGGGGAACCCTCTGCAGGCTTGGCTGGGTTCGCAGCCGGTACCGGGGGGCGGAGCTGTCAGGCTCACTCTCCAGCTTCCAACCTTTTTCTGAGCGCCCACTTTGTGCATATCCATAAAAACCAAGCAGGAGCGGGTCTCGACCAACAAGTGGTTCAAGTTCATGGCGATCTCCAAGAGTAGGACTTGTCACTGATTTGAGGTGTCACGCATATTCTGGCCGCACAGCTTTCAACTCTTGGGCTCCGCCGGTCTCTCCATAAGTGGAGCGTTACCCTAAGGCGTGGATCGGGAATACTTTCCTCAAGACCAAATAACACACAGTAGGCGCTCAGTCCCTGCGGTTCCTCTCTCCACCCCCTCCGCCCCCCGGCAAGGCGCGCCAGTGCAGCGCGTCCCCCTCCCGCCTCCCGCATCTCCGCCCGCCTTGCACGTCCCGCCGCAAAGGGACTGGGGCAGAGAGGGCGAAACAGAAAATTATTTCCGCCCTCTCGGCCCGCCCCACCCCGCCCCGCCCCGCCCCGCCCGTCCCCGGAGCCAGAAGGGGATTGTGGGGCCGCCTTGGCCGCCGCCGGAGCCGAGCGGGGCGGAAGCGCGCGCCGTGCTGCTGCTCGGGCCCGACCGCGCCGGCCCCCGCACCTCCCGGCCCAGGCTGCGGGCTGCGGTCGGGGCGGTCCCGGGCCCAGGCGCCTGCCGCGGGGCGCGCTTCCGCGAAGTCTGGCTCGCAGGTTCCCGGAACGGAGCGGGGGAGGCAGAAGAGTGTGGCGGTTTCGGGTTTTGCCCGGCGTTTGCTTTCGTCGGTCCCCGGGGCCGGGGGTGGGGGTACGACCTCTCTGGGCTAGTAGACAGACCTGGGCTGGAAGAACGGACTGCGCGGGTGCCCGCGGGCGGGCTTGCTTTTCCTTTACGCCTCTTTTGCGAACTGTTTTCAGCCCCCAAAGCAAAGCTGCTGACCTTGGGGGCCGCTTGGAGAGGTTAAGTGCCTTTCCCCGGAGGTAGCCCAGCCAGTGAGTACGAGGTTTCTAGTGATCGGGTGGACCGACCTGTCATGGGGTAGAGGGAAGGCGGGCGGGAAGGGTGCGTTCCAGTTGGTCTCGGGTGCCAGCCCTGACATTAACTGGCTGTGTGCCTGGTTAGAATACCGTATAGCTGGGACCTTCGGTTTCTCCGAAATAGGCTGTACCAGCCCAAGGATCGAAAGGGGGGCAAGGAAAGGTGATTTCCCACCAAAGGTTATGACTGCCCATGACCTGTCTGGTGGGGGAAGGGAGATGAGCCAGCAGGTTCCGTCCTGAATCACAAGCGCTGTGCTCGATCCTCAGAGGCCCATCTGAAGAGGAACCGTGGGAGTCGGGGGCTTTCCCAGGCCTTAGGCGGTCCAGAGTCATCGCTGTTGCAATGGCCCTGAACACATGCTATTCACACATTTTCACAGGAAGACACAGCACTGAGGGCTCATATGCAAATAGCTTTAGTTTGCCACACTGTAAAATGGAGATAACTAGATCCTCCTCTCCAGCCTGCGGTCCTAGCAGGTGCTTTAAGAACCGAGCGAGCCCCAGTCCTACC